TATTTTTCTGAGTATGGGTATGGGCAGGTGCATGCCTCAGCACTTGTCAGGAGGTAAGAGAACAAACTGGGGGAGGTATGCAGTCTCTCTTCCTATCATGGTTCTCAGGGACGAAACTCAGGTCATCAGTCCTGACAAAACATTTACAGATGGGCTTGAGGTATAGTCTAGTAGTATATGTTTAGAATATTGGAGACCCTGGAAACAATCCTTAATACCACACACACACACACATACACACACACACATACACACACATGCAACACACACATATCACACAAACACACTACTACAGACATAAAACATAGCACACACATATAGGCAAACATACCACACACACACACACAAACACCACATACAACACATACAACACATACATACACACATATAGCACACACAAACATGAAACACACACATACATGCACAGGCACATATGTACACACATACACACAGCAGCACACATGAAAATCACAAGGTGTAAACAATATCAAATAAACATGGGAGCGGAGGAGCCCATTTGGCATGAAAGTGAGAAATATCTGCATTTTAGCAACAATGGAAAGGCAGGTAAGCAGGATCACATACTCAAATAGCACCCCAGAGGACAGCAGTACAAGGAATAAACTGATTTAATATTTTTTTCTTCATTTGGTGAGTTTTATTTCTTTCTGTTGTTGATGTTTTGAGGTTCTTTTTTTCTTTTTTCCTTCCCTCCCTCTCTCCCTCCCTCCCTGCCTCCCTCCTTCCCTTCCTCCTTCCTTTCCTTCCTCCCTCCTTCCCTCCCTCCCTCCCTCCTTTCTTTCCTGAGACTGGATCTCACGTTTATCAACCTTGTCTGGCTGGGAAACTGCTATGTAGACAGACTGTTCTGAACCGCATAGGGGCAGGCCCTGCTGCCTCTGCATCCTGAGTACATGACCACACCTCTGCTTTCATTTGCTTTTTCAAGATTTGTTAAGGATCAAGGGGCAAATAAATGCATAGATAATTGAGTCTGCAAAGATGTGAGGAAAAGTCCCAGGAGTCATCCAATTTCAGTAAACAACAACTTAAGGAAGCTCCTAAAAACCAGGTGGCCAAGGTCAGGACATCCTAAAAGCTCGCCAGGACTGCAGAGCAAATCCACCCAGTGGGAATCCACTGTCCCACTTCAAAGCTATACAACTAGCTTTCAAATAACTAATTCAATACAAGATTATTCAAGTATAACTTTTTAAAAATTTACCAGAGCTATTCTGGGACTCACTACTGAGTCCAAGTTCCTGTTGAACTTGAGACCCTCCTTCCTTGGTGTACTTCAGTCTCCTTCAGACTCTCAGGAGCTAGGAATCCAAGCTCGTGGCATTATGCTCGTTTACAGTCGACTCTTAAATTTAACCTTGCTGTAAGTGAAAGGCACATCAGTGAAGGAGAGGTTTGGTAAAAGAGTATTTACCAAACAAAGTCAAACGATGCTTGTGAAACCACATGATAAAATAGCACCAAAGAAACCCAATGACTATTTACTAACTAGAAAGAAGGAAAATGGTTTGAAAGGCATTTGGGGCCCTCAGATACAAACAGTGGTGGTGGGCAGAACAGGAGAAGCCTTGCCTTTACACTTCTCTGCGCACAAGAGGAGGTTGAAGGAAAGTATGCAATTGACTTTAGAGAAAGACTGGGATTGCATCAACATGGCCTTGCCCTTGGCCTGACTTTATGTTTCTCCAGAGATTGCTTGGACTTGCTTGGACTGCCCTTAAGTACACTGCCCCAGAAAAATCTGCCCATGTGGCCAGAAACTGGCTCTCAAGTCAGTTCCATTGGGCAATTCCTCCTTACAACAATCCCAGTTTCACCAGGAAGCATTTGAAAAAGATTTAGGCTCTGGGGGGCTCCTTTCTATTTCTCTATTCATTTTTCTTTTCTTTCATTTTCTTTTCTGGGGGGGTTGTTTTAAATTTTGTAGGGGCTTTTTGATGTTTTGCTTTTTGCTGTTTAAAAATTTCACTATTTCTGCTTTCATTGTATAGCTAAACTACAAGGTGATCTCTTTCGCTGTCCCCTTCCTTCCCTCTTCTTCTGCTGCCATCTTTTCTCTCTCCCTCCCTCTGCTTTCTGCCTCTCTTTCTCTTTTCTCTTCCATCTCTCCCCATTCTTCCCCTTTCTCTGTCTCCCTGTTTCTCGGTGTCTCTCTCTCCTCTGCCCTTGCTCTCTACATTTCCTAGTGACAAATTCATTTGTCCTAAGGCCCCACTGATGGTTCTTCACCTTGGTCTACTTGGGAAACTGCCGAAGTCACACAAAAGCATTTCCGGCATGCTTTCGTCTGATTGTCTTTCAGAAGAGGACAAGGTGCACATCACAGATGAGTGGATGCTTATGGGCTGAAAAGCTTTTTCCCTATGGGTCTGCGTGCTTTTAAGGGGCTCCCTTCACAGTTAAAAGACAAGAAAGTAACATGAAGCAGGTTGTTCATCATCAACCAGGTTACTATTGGGATGTGGAGATCCCTTTGGAGCCGGACTAGGAAAGCACTTTTAGAACTGTCTCCACAGGGCACCAGTAGAGAGAAGGGAAAAGAAGGGCCAGGAACCCAAGAACTTTGGCTTGAATTCTACATAGCATACAAAATTCAGCTCAGAATGGAACAAAACCTTAAATATAAAACAAAATATTTAAAAACCTTTAGAAAATAAAGCAGAAAAGAATATCTTGAGAGTCTAGAACACGGACAGAAATGTCACCTTTGACACCTAAAGCACAATTCACAAAAGCAGAAACTGATAAACTGAACCAGAACAAAATTTTAAAACTTTTGCTCTACTAAAAAGAAAACAAAACAACAGAAAAAAAAACCCTCAAGCTACTGGTTGTACCAGAATATTTGTAAACTGTCCATCCCATAAAAGACAATACATAAAATATGTAACAAGTCCCCCAAATTCAACAGTAAAAGCCAGGAGATTCAATTAAAAAAGATGTGTAAAAGCCATGTAGGTAAATGTCACTGAAGAACTAGAGGTGGCAGTGTACACATGAACAGATACTTGTATGTATACACAATGTTCATTGGGCATTAATTGAAACTGCAATGAACTCTTGCTGTGCCTCCTTGAAATGGCTAATGTAAATGCTGACACAATCAAATGCTAGTGACAATGCAAACAACATCACTCATCCATGGCTGGTGGGAGTGTCATGTGATACAACCATTCACTCTGGAAAGACTGGCAGTGTCTTATAATGTAAAATATTAATTTATTATTGACCCAACAATTGAGTATTTAACCTAGAAAAATGAAAACTTGTAGTCACACAAAATTTGCATACTGGTGTTAATAAGTAGCTTTGTTTATAAACAGCCCAAACCAGGAAAAAAATGTTCTTCAACGGAAAAATGACTGAAAAGTTAGCATCTGTCTATCCATGGAACAAATCATTTAGCAAAAAGTAATAAATTATTGGTAACCAATACATGCAACAACTTGGATAGATCACAAGTAAGTCACAGAGGAGAAAATAAATCTAATTGCCAAAGGTTATATGGTATATTTCATTTATATAAAAATATAAAATTATATGAAAGGTTTATATCATAGTCTTGGACTAAGAAATTGAGTCTAAGAATCCACTAAGTAGTTAAAAAGGTGCCAAGAAGAGTGGGGAAATGAGAATGGTTTCAACAGGGCAGCACACAGTATCTGTTTCACCAAGACACCAGTCTGGATTAACTGTGATACTCACTAAATAAATCTCTTCACAAGATAGAAGTACAAATAACTAAATATGCACACAACATGAATGAATGTGCACGCACACACACACACACACTAGGTGGCATCCCACATCAGTGTCAGTTTCCTAGGTGTGAAACATGTTAGTGACTGAAGGATACAGGATTTCTCTAATATTCCACACATCTACAAGGAAATAGCCAGTTATGTCACAATAGAGATTTAGACAGTCCTTACCCTGAATGTACTATTTTTCTACTGGCTCATTCATCACATGGCTGACTTCTTCCTTCCCCTATTTTGTTACTCTAGTCCTAAGAGCAGGAAATACTCTGCTACAGTAAATACTTCAATTCTTTTCCTAAGTGCAGGATTTGTGATTTATTTTCTGACTGGGGAAGGCCCTTTGGAGCCAGCCTATGTTTGAATACTGACCCTAGAGCTGCAGGAATTAGATGAAACATTTTGAGTCTTATATGCCTTGTTTGTAAAATGAAGATAAAATAACCTATGTCCAGGACTTGTACAGGTAAAGCACTCACGCACTGCAAGTCATCAGTCTATTGCTTTTATCCCATTAAAAGTCTAAAACACAGCTTAATTTCTGGATAAATATATTGACCAAAAATTCCTTTGGTTTTAGTGCAAAGGCTTGTATTTTAGTAAACAGGAAGTGCATCTTTACAAGCACAGATTTCGGGTTGGGGACTGAATGAGGCTAAATTCAGTTCTTAAGTATATCAATTAAGGAGTCCATAATGTCTGCTTGAAACCTAGGCGCACTCTGAGGCCAACAGCATTATCGATCACTTAATTATGATCAGTGGGAGGCAAACAGCTGCTCGAGCCTGTGACAAGCCAAAGATGCAGACTCTAGTGACGTCATCTTCATCTAGTCGTCTACAAAATACATGCTTCTTCGTAGTGATTCTCCAAAAAGACTTAAGTATGTCAGATTTTAAATTAGTGCTCAGCCAATAGAACTCCATGCCAGCAGGAGTTAAGAGCCTAGGGTTAAAACAAAAGTCCAAGCGTCCTGCAGGTCAGCACCAGCCGGCTATACCCTCTGAGAGGTTGTATGTAGCCCCAGAGAACCACCAAAGGTAGAAAAGGGGTCATTTACAAAGGACAAAGTGGAGGATGTTGAACTTTTGTTGGTCACTGGCTGTTTTGCTGAACAATCACACAGAACACAAAGGGCCAAATAATTCTCCAGGTCCCAGTCTTTCTTTGCTAGTGTTTTAAAGTACTGCAATGCTATAAGGTTGTAAAATAAATGCTTACCGAGCGAAATAACTCTGTTTCCGTTCCTTCTGTTCCTTCTTCTCTTCCTTGGTATCCATAATGCACAGCTAAAAGTGCAAAGTATTTGGAAACGTCCTTTTTAATCAGTGAGTCATATTCCTGCAATTAAAAAAAAAAAAAGCACCTATCAGTTGAGACGTTTATAATGGCTAATGATATGCAGAATAAAGCAGAGTGACATGGTCCAAAACAAACGAAGGATAAACTTTAACCAGGAAACAGTCACATGAGTTAAGTACAAAATGCAAAGGGGTTGGGAGCCAGGCAAACCACAACACTTCAATTAGAACGCTAAGCCACAAAGCAGACCAGGGATGGGAAACCAAACTGGAATGCATTCTTCATAATTAATAGTAATATCAAAACAAAACTTCACTGACTAGAAGACAGTGCTACAGACGCTTTTATAAATTTATTTTTAACATACCATACACATAATCTCTTTTCCCCCATAATTCATTATAAATAGTTATCACGGGTAGTATGAAGATGGTTTACTTGGGTGTTTTATAGAAATGTGCTTTGTTCAAAAGTAAAACTAGCTTCGGCATTTTCTTTTACCTTCAGTAACTTGAGCAAATGTGGAAATGAAAGCCCAGAGGAAACTACTCTGAAAGCTGTACCTTTCGGCATCTGCTCAGCCTCTCTCTAGCCAGACATCCTCAACTACCGTTGCTGTGGGAGCTTAAACCAGTAATGAAAGCTTGTTTATGGAGCAATCTTCCCTAAATACCTCTTTCATCACGCTAGTTCTTGCTCACAATTCTCCAAGTGCACTCACTAGCAGCTTCAGCGAGTTAAGTTACTGACGGTGCTTTTGCAGTCACACAGTGAGGTGCAGGTTCATCGATCAAATTTAAATGTAAAGAAAGCGAAGTACATTTACAAAACAAAATAGTTTCCGTCTTTGTCTTTATTTCAACTCAGTAAAGTTCCATACACAACAGACATTATACGAAGGGCACTATTGTTTCCGAGTTCAAGCTAAATGAGGCATTCGATTTGTTCTAATGGGATCCACTGTCTTATGGCATACAGAACTGCGACATTATGAGAATCTACTGTTTCACAGGGGACATGGGTGCCACAAGGGACTACAGAAAAAACAACCACTCAAAATTAGCATCCCAAGATGTACATAGCACAAAATGTGTACGGTTGGACATGATAAAAATGCATTTTTTGTCAATTAAAAGCCTTAGTGTTTTGAAATTATTTTTAATTACATGTATGTGTCTGTGTGTGAATACATGCATAAAAGGACAGATACTTGTCCCCTGTAGCTCGAATCCAAGGCAGCTGTGAGCTGTCTTCTGTGCACGGTAGGAATCAAACTCAGTTTCCTTCAAGAATAGCATATGCTCTTAGTTGCTGAGTCATCATCTCTTTAAGCCCTAAAGCTGTTAACATTAAAAAACAAACAAACCACTCAGCCTTACTTAGCCATCTGACACCTTCATTTCACACACTAAGGATGTGGGTGCTACTGTGGGCTTCCCATGACAGCTACAGGGAAGTGGTTCAGCTTGAACCCAAGCAAGAGAACAGAAGAACTTCCTGTTGCCCAGAGCCACGAGTGCAGCACAGCAGTGTGGGACTGAAGAGAAAGGCTTGGGAGGGATACCGGAGATGGAAGAAAGATCTTGTTCGTCATGCTAAAGACCCATCTATCATCCCTGCCCCCACCTCCCACCCCTAGGCATCCTGCAACTTCCACTCTTTGAGGCTGCTGTTAGCCAGCTCTAAGTGAGCCCCACAGATGGGATCTGCAGCTGCTACGCCATGAGAAAATACTCCAATGGCTACTTTCTCATCCCTGATATGAACCAAAGGAAGACATAGGTATGATTCTTTCTCAGGTCAGTGTGGCAGAATCATGATATGACAGTGACCTCAAACAACGAAGGGTGTAGACTTGTCAGAACTTAAGGTTAAATTTGGTTAAAGAGAGCAAGGCTGAAAACTAGGCAACAGCACCTAGTACAGGAAGGGGAATGAATTCAAGGAATGCTTAAGAGTCAGGCAAACTGAGCTTAGGCGGTCTATTCAATACAGATAGGAAAGGAGAGCGGGGAATGAAGGCCGCCATGTTTCTGCTTCAGGGACCAGCTGGACTGTGACAACAGAGTTACTATTCTCTGTACAGGAAGAGGGCCCCCCTGTGTGGGGGTGGTGTATAAGGAGATTCAGTATGGCTCCTAAGGACCTGTGGGTGGTCAACTGGAGACATTTTCTACTCTTTTGGTGCACTTGGTTACAATGAAGGCACAGGAGGATAGTAAAAGCTAGAGGGAAAATAAGAAATTTGCAGCATATGGTTGTCATTAGGGCAAAAAAAATAAAAAAAAGGGAAAAAAAAACAGTATTATGAGATCACCCGGGAAGCTTGGCACAAACTGTAACATCAAAAAAATAAAAATAAAAAATGAATCCCGTGGGGAAAACAAACGGGAGCAAAGTGCTAATGGATCGTAGCAATGTTGAGCTGTCAAAGAATAACCCCCTTGATTTAACACATAAAGGCTCGATATTGATGATGGTAACATAACAAAGCACACAGGGTAGTTAGGGCTCTGATAGAAGAGAGATGAGGGACCCCCAGGTGGAGGAATAGGTAACCAGGAGGGTAGGAACAGGAAGCAACCTTGCTTTCATCTGCTGTGGCGTTTACTGCAGCCTATTATCTCCATTGTTAATCCTCAGGACCACTTCCCTCAGAAATCCTGTCTTTAAGCTCGTGAGGGATGTGGACGGCTGAGAGATCTGCTAATTTCTTTCACTCGAGAGAACTCCACAGGGATTTAGATCCCGTTTTGTACACTCTGGTGTCTTGTAATCAACTTTGGAGTCAAAAGTAATGGGAGATGAGCCAAAAAATGTTAACATAGGATCTTCAATGGCCAAAGTTTCAAGCAAAGACCATGCAGGCAAGACAAGTGTAACTGGCCTTATCAGCTAGAACTGAGTCGGAAGAGCAGTGGGCATGGAGGCCAAACTCCAGTGAGCCGAGGTACTTTATGTTCATCCAAGAATCTGCAAAGGCAGGAGCTGAACCTCCAGCTCCAGGGAGCTCTATCCCACATTATGGTTTGAACTCAGGCTTTTCTCAACTCTTTTTCTTCATTCCTTTCCTGGGAGTGAAGTTACCTTGTTTCTCCAGACCAGATCTAGCACAAGCCTTTCTCGTGTGCACGTCACCTGCTATCTTCTACCTCAGGGCATTGCATCATATGTGTGACAAACCTCTCCCCTTAGCGTCCACAGTCCAAACCATAGGCTGCTTTCAGGCCAAAGACCACCTTGGCTGCCTTTGCCTTTCCCTAAGTATATGGTACTACAATTGGTACCATTTCAGACAAGTTACTTAAGCAAGAGGTCACATTAATCCAGACTTGGTATTACAAAGTCAACACAGGGTAAACTTTAAATGTGTTTGGTATGTATAAATATTACATATAGTGTATAAAAATGTATAAATATTATATATATATGTAAATATATATAAATAAAATAAAAATGTTGATAGTGATATAGACTCCTTTCAGTTTCCTTCAGTCTTGAACTGATTCAAATCCTAGGCTCTCCCTCCTGTCTGGGCCTATTTTAAAGTTCTCTTCCACAAGGCGCCAATATGTTATGATCTCTGTTTATTAGATTTCTTCTCATGAATAAATATGAAGCTGTAACAACCTAATGGAAAATTTTTTATATTGAAAACTGAGCCAGACACTAATATTTGACTCAAGAAGAAAAATATTGATAAAAATAGGCAAGGGAGGGACAAGAAAACAATTTGAGAACTGACATCTGGTGCTATTGTTCTGGTTAGAACTAATTAAGCCCAAGTCCTACCCTTCCCCACCCCCAATATTCTATTAGATAAATTAAAATATGCTAATTTGGTTGGTTTTTCAGTCTTTGAATTTTAAAATGATTCTTAAAACAAGACAGATGTACTCATTTCATCTGGAAAGACAGCATCAGATAAAACAGGAAGAGGTCCACACTAGACAATAAGAAAGGGCTTGCAGGGAACACCACACAGCAGCCTTCGCGCTCCAGTGAGGAAGTAGAGCCCCTAACGCAGTCTCTAATAGGAACAGCATTTTCCGGATAAGTGCTTATAATGGGCTTCTTAAAAGCCCTTCATTCATTTAATGCTGACTTTCCTCACATCGATACACTCAGGACAAGAGTCTCCTGCAATTATGGTCTATTGCAGACCTAAATGTGTCTTCTGAGGGAGTGTGAAATAAATCTTTCATCTAAATGTTTCTTTCCTCTTTTTTTTTCCAATTTAAATCAGAATGGCCAATATCAACCTAAATTCAGTTCATTTTTCAAAAACACAGAAAACCCTCCCCTCATTAAAGCTGTGACCTAGACAAAGTATTTTTCTTTGAATTCTGAGTATAGCGTCCTCTGTGTGCAACTGTAACATCACTGACAGAATTCAAGGACAGAGCTAGTGGAGAGTCCCTACTGTATCAAGCCAGTGTGAATTGCACTGTGCTGCAAAGCCTACGGGCCCACATCTGATACACTGTAGTCCTTGAGCAAGCAGATATAACCAGACAAGGCCGGTCCCCAAAGCTCAACGACATGGTTCCTAATACACAGCTGAAATAATGACAGGCACACATGCTGGGGGCTTAGTGACACCCAATCTGACCACTGCAGAACAGACCAAAATGTACCTTTTACGCAGACACTTCCTTCCAGAAAATTACGTATAGCAAAACGAAAGTTGTGTCTCTTCTCTCAGAATCACATTTAAACAATGGAAGGTTATTCAAAATTCAGTATTAGCCCAGGTCAGAAATTTGAATGTTTTTCTTAACAACAACAAAAAAACAAACAAAAAACAAACAAACAAAACCAAAAAACCAAAAAGACAAAAAACAACAACAAACATAGGAAGACACAGAACCAAATCCAAATGTGTGCCACACACTTGAGAGAAAGCCAAGAGACTATGCCCAAATAAACAAATAGGTAATACCACACAAAGAGCAACAGCCACAAAACAGAGATGCAATGGCCAGAAAGAGCCAAAGGTTATGCCTGAGGCAAATTAATAAACAAGGAAAGGTTAAGAG